AGTGAATAGAATACTTTGCAGTTCATACTGAAGGTCATGGGAAAGCCCAAAGAGACACTGGAAACCAGAATTGTAGTCCTTTAAGCTGCTTGTCCCTAAAGCCTCTTACTGATTTATAAAGTGTTGCTTCAGTGGGAAAAGAACAGTATTTAATAGGAATTATTTTATATGTGTTTAATAAGGCTAAAAAATACTTCCAAAGACAAACTTACTAGGTATAGAAGAAGCAAACTTTCACATTTATCTGACCACCTCTTTGTCTATCTTGAGACATTTCATTGAAAGTTAAAGTGTTCACTTGCTTTGCTCTAGAATGAATTCATTGCCTGTTATTTTTTCTTCTCCTTGGCTTGTCTGCCATGGAATTATCAAGTTTTTCTACATTCATTTCTTAGAGCAGTCTTTGTCATATGAACAAGATATCTTGGAATTTAAAACTCCTAGTGTAATTATTGAGCTAATACCCATCATAAGTAGAAACTGAGGCCATGATACTCCATTTCAATGACAGATAGTATAAAGTGAAAAAACATGAACAATGCAGAATTAGCCAGCCCTCAAGATAATCTAAAGCTTGTCACATGAAAAAAAAATACCCAGATACTATGCTCTCAAATAGATAAGAAAGTATTCGCATTTGCTCTAGCTGTCCTGGCAAATTATTTTTTATTTTTATTTTTCATCCTGGCAATTTAGACAATCATTTGTGTGGTTTAGCCTAAATACCAAAGAGAACAGAGCAAGCACTCATTCAGTGGATCTCTCTGAAGAGTTCACTGGCATGTTCAACACACTCTGCCTGAGATACCTTTTGAGTTAGCTATGAAATTATCAGGCTCTGGTCTAGATTTTTTGTTTTGTTGAATTATGAATTTTATCTTCCTTTTTTATTAAATATGAGAGAACCTCGGATGTATGAGTCATAACAAATGATTTTACATTTGTGAATCTGTCTGGCCGTGCTAGGGTAACAGGCAAACCCCCAGCAGCAGTGGCTTACAGGAACGGGTAGTATTTCTGACACTATGTGTTGGGTGCGTGGTAATTACAGTTCAATTTTGCATGCCTTATTTATTTTAAGATCCAGGCTGAAGGAGCAGCCCCTTCTATGAAAAGAGAAATGGTAGAATCACTCATTGTTTAATAAACCTTCCTCTCAGGAATGGCACACAAAACTGCTCACGTTTCACTAGTCTAAGCAAGTCACATGGACAAGTCCGATGTTAGAAGGCATGAGAGTGTACTTTTACAGGGAGAAACAGCAGATAGCTAGGAACAATAATACAATTAAGGTGTGTGATGTATCTTAGGATATAATTTGAAAGTATAAGGAAGGAAGGAAGTGTTCTAGGATTCTAATGGAGAAGCTCTGGCTCACTATTCTAGTACAGCAAATGGCAGGTCTTTTTCTTCAGAATAGGTCTATTTTATGTAATTGCAACAATAAACATAACATGCATCTCAGTGTATATTGCAGCGTTATTTACAATAGTCAAGAATTGGAAGCAATCTATAGTGTCCAGTGATAGATGAATGGATAAAGATATGGGATATATATATGCATATATATGATGAAATATTATGAAGCCATAAAAAGAATGAAATCTTGCCATTTGTGAAAACATGGATGGATTTAGAAGGCATTATGCTAAGGGAAGTCAGTCACATAGAGAAAGACAAATGCTGTGTGATTTCACTTATAAGTGGAATCTAAAAAACCAAACAAAAGAGCAAACATAATAAAACAGATATAGACTCATAAATACAGAAAACAAACCAGTGGTTGCCAGAAGGGAGGCAGGTGGGGAGATGGGCAAAAAGGTGAAGGGAATTAAGAGTTACAAAGTTATAGTTTTAAAATAAATAAGTCACAGGGATGTAATGTACAGCATAAAGAATATAGTTAATAATATTGTAATATTTCGTATGGTGACAGATGGTTAACCAAACTCATAGTGAAGATCATTTTGTGATACATAAATCTATCAAATCACTATGTTGTATATTTGAAACTAAAAATATTATAAGTCAACTATAATTCAATAAAAATCTGACATTCATTAATTAAAATAGCAAAGTAGACAGCTCCAATGGTCCATCCCTCTAAAAAAACATTGAAAAAGCAAGCAAAAACTGTTTTAATCAACATTGTCAGAACTTTGGAAAGTAGTCAGAGGTTTATAGCAATCAAGTGCACACTGAAACAAGAAAAAGGCAACTTAAAAAAGGGTAGAAAAGCTTTGAGGTAATTTTGCTTGCCCTGTCCACCTGCTCCCAAGTTTAGCAGAGACTTAGAGTGAATTTTAAAAAAAAGACCCAATTATGCTTTATCTACAAGAAACCCAGTGTGAATATAAAGACATAGATTAAAAATAAATGGATGGAAATGTTTTTTATTTTTTTATTGAGATATAGTTGATTTACAATATTATATAAGCTTCAGATGTACCACATACTGATTC